CAAAGGAAGAATCCCAATGGCTTTTTGTCGAGGGAACGGATACATTTACAGATATTAAACATCACTGACTTTGCCAGATTTTTTGAAGAAAGCAAATATAATCATCATTATCATCATCATCGCAAGTTTCTATTAAGCTAAACGTCAGGATTGTACTGCTTTCAATACTGAAACTCGCCTTGTATTTTTGTGAGGTTTTTCCCACCTTACCCTCCAATCTCCAAAAATCAACTGTGTTTTTATGTCTTTTAATGCCTTCTGATTCATGATCATCAGCGTGATCAAACTTTGATGACGAAACCATGGTTGTACTTAACAATCACACTTTAGTTTTCCTTCTGTGGCTTTGTTTTATCCTTTTCTTGAGCTCAAACACTTCAAGTTAGGAGCGACACAGGCCCACTCTTCATCTCCTATAGTGGGCAGCAGCTTCTTCAGCTGAAGAAGACCATATCCAGAGTCACACATGACCTGCAACTCTCCTCTCTAGACGCGCTGGTTATCATAAATGGGGATTTTAATCCCTGCCCTCTCTCTGCCACCCTACCCTCTTATAAACAAATGGTGTCATTCCCTACGAGGGGTGATAAAACTATCAATTTGTTTTATGTAAACATTAAGGACAATTTTATTTCAAAGATGCTCTCCCCTCTTGGACAATCGGATCATAACTTGATATTATTGACTCCCAACTACTCTCCTTTAATCCGGAAGCTGCTGATTACGTCCAAGACTGTTTGTGTGTGGACAGAGGATGCATGTGAAATGTTAAGAGGGTGTTCTGATTGCACTGACTGGACTGTGTTTCCAGAGGATGACAATGATCTGGACAGCATCTCTGACGAAGTCACCAGTTATATTAATTACTGTGTCGAGTCTATCAGTCCCTGTAAACAAATACAAACTTTCCCTAATAACAAACCTTGAGTGAGGAGATCAAAGCTGTTATTAATAGGAAGAAAACTGCTTTTCTCAGCGGCGAAACAAAGATATGATTAAAACTGCCCAAAAGGAATTAAAGCAATTATCAAACAGGGTAAGTGTAAATATAAGGAAAAGGTTGAAGGACAGATGTCCAATAGTAACACAAGGGGCCTTTGGAACGGCATGAAATCTATTACTGGTTATGGGACCAGTTCTCCCAGCGTCCCTGGTGCTGGGATCAATGTAAATGAAGCAAACCAGTTCTTTGCAAGGTTTGATGAATTTGATTTCTCTGTATCTCACGAGAGCGTCCTCTCTTCTCTTGCACCGAGTAGTCCTGAGGACTGTAGCCCAGCTATTGTAATACATGTTGAGGAGGTTCGACAGCAGTTAAAGCGCCTTAAGGTTAACAAGGCAGCAGGCCCTGACGGTGTCCATCCACGCACCCTTAAGGTCTGTGCTGACCAGCTGTACTCAGTCCTTCATTCTATCTTTTCCTTGTTCCTATCTTCATCAAAAATTCCAGTAATGTGGAAAACATCTTGTTTAGTTCCAATCCCAAAGAAAAACAATGTGAGGATTCAAAGTCTTACTAACCTCAGTCCTACAGCCCTGTAGCACATAATGAAATGTTTTGAAAGGGTTGTCCTGGGTCACCTGAGTAGACAGGTCACAGGTCTCAGGTCTCAGATTCCTTGCAGTTTGCATACAGGAAGGGTGTAGGGGTAGATGATGCACTACTTGTTATGCTCCACAGTATTTATAGTCATCTTGCAACAACTACCAGCTCTGTTAGGATCATGTTCTTTGACTTTTCCAGTGCTTTCAATACAATCCAACTGCACCTTTTAGCTAAAAAAACGTATGACTTTTAAACTGCACAATACAACTATTGCTTGGGTCTTGGATTACCTTTTGTCTCGACCACAGTTTGTCAGGCTTGATAAAAAACTGTCTCACACTATCTTAACTACAACTGGAGCACCACAGAGAACAGTTTTATTCTCACTTCATACAGCTGACTATAGGTAGAGCCATGTGTCCTGTAACATCCAAAAGTTCTCAGATGACACTGCCCTGGTTGGTCTACTTACCGGAGCCAATGACCTAAACGGGAGGTTGAATCTTTTGTCAGCTGGTGTGATGACATTTTTTTTTAACTAAATGTTGGAAAGACCAAAGAGTTGGTTATTGATTTTAGAAGGAAGAAGGAGGAGGTCTCCCCAGTGACAATTGCAGGTCAGCAGATAGAAATTGTCCAGTCGTATAAATATCTTGGGGTCTATCTGGACAGTAAATTAAACTGGAAAAAGAACACTGATGCTGTATTTAAAAAGGCTCAGTCAAGACTTTTCTTCTTGAGGAAGCTTAGATCCTTTGACATCAGCAGAAAGCTTCTTCATGTTTTTTTACCAGCGGATCTTAGCTAGTGTCCTCTTCTATGTCGTGCTCTGCTGAGGGGGGGGGGTGCGGCATCACTACAGATGACAAAAACAGGATCAATAAGATGATCAGGAAGGCTGGCTCAGTGATTGGCCTTACCCCGGACTCACTAGAGGTCGCTGTAGAAAAGAGAACAAGGGCCAAGTTAAAAAAACGATTGTTTCCTATGAGGGCCATCCATTACACATGTTTTTAATGGACTCAGAAGCTCATTCAGTGAGAGACTCAGGATGCCTTTAGATGTGGTGTTTAGATTTAACATCTTTCTGATGTCAATCATGTTTCATATGGCATTTTCTGGTGTTATTTATTCTTTGTAATGTGTTTTTTGTCCATTGTGCTCTGTGGACTGTGTCTATTGTTGTCTGTATGAGTTTTTGGTGGCAAATGAGTTTTCCCACTGGGGATTAATAAAGTTTTCTAATCTAATTTAATCCATACAAGCATAACATTGGTCAAATTGGCATAAACTATTGACAGTCGAGAAGAATTTTGAATTGTGTCATTTCCGTGTGCAGGGCTCACAGGGAAACGCTACCGCTCTACAGAGACGTATAACTGTAGGGACATATTGCTGATGACCATAGTTTTGTTGTTAAGGGATCATCGCAATCACCATAATGCTTGACCATCATTTTCTCACTCAAAGCCTTTCATGGCATCGTTGCTCTTGCTGCTAAATGTGTCTTCTTGTTCAGCCCTCCATTCATCGAGGTGCTCCGTCTTCGTCCCTTGAACGAACAAGGCCGGCTTACGGCGTTATTACTCACGCTTACTGATCGCACGTCAACACTTAAATGTGACGGTGGTGCAGGCAGGTGGACACAAATGCAGAAGCAACAGGAAAGCTACAGGAACCGACAAATAAATGTTTCAGGGCAAACAAAGGCAAAACAGAACTGGCTGGCTCCAAACACGAAGAGCAAAACAACAGCTGCAAACACCTGGAAGCATAGAGCACGAACTGACAGGGAGAAATGGGAAACAGACAGTTATACATACACAGAGCACAAGACTGGAGTAGGCAGCACTGGAATAGGAGGGAAACAAAAGGATAGGCCAACAATGGAGACAACGAGGTGTGGTAGGCAGCAACACAAGGCCAGAGCAAATGAGACTAACACAAGGCAGGTCTCGAGGAAAATGATGCTGAACAGGGCTACAGCAACACAAGAGGTATAAACTGTCTGGAGTAACCCACACAGAGCAGAAATAACAAACATCCAAAATGAAGGTTTGCCCAAAAATCAAGCAACAGACCAATCTCAATAAGGATCAATAACCATAACGTAGAACTGGAACTATATAGAGTCCAAAAACTATGACCTTAGAGCTGGGCTCTATTTAAGTTATAGTTGTAACTCCGGTCACATTAGCTCATAACCTCGATACTAAATTACCATCTGGAGGCTAAGCTGCTAACAGGCTAAGCTGCTAACAGGCCTGTTGAACCGTAAATACAATCACAAAATAAAGACACGTTCATAAGCCAAGTTATAAATCATATCATATATCGAATATTATTTGACCACATAAGCAGTATTATAGTGTAGTTACTCACATTTGTACATGCTCTGTTACTGGCTGCCTCACAGTCCAGTCCAGTGGACAGTCAGAAGAGATGACATGCGTGTTGAGTCTGTCCAAAAAACTAAACGTGTTTTCTTATTTTTTCTTCTGTAGAGTGGATTTTTCTGGCCACTCTTCCCTGAAACATCAAGAGGTGGAATATGTTTCCAAGGCCTGTACAGTTTTGAAAATGTATTCACTTTTTTAAGTTGTGTCAGCGATACTTTTTTTATTATTTCATGTTTTTATTTATTAGTTTATTATCGGACATGTGCATGTACTGTAATAGAGTGACGATCTATGGAACAAATGCCTCTTGTTTGTTGTTGTTATTGTTTTGGTTGTACAGAGTAAATAATTTAGTGAAGCAAGAGGGAGGAAGGAACATGCAAACAGGAATGCATGTTGTGTCAAATAACTATATATATTTATATACTTATACCTAAGTTTTAGGTATATAATTGAGAGATGATGATGTCTTGCAGATAGGGGAGAACATGGTTCAAGAACCAGACAGCTCGCACAACTGTGAATAATGTATGAAGAAACACTTTCAGAAAGACATGACTATCAGACACATCTCAAAAAGTGGGATGGGAGCCAGAGCCCTCAGCGATCAAGCTCCTCTTCTGAGGAACCAGCTTCCAGTCTCAGTCCGGAGGGCAGACACACTTGCCACATTTAAGACTTTCCTTTCTGATAACGCTTGTATTTAGGGCGATGTCATATGTGTACAGATTGTAATGCCCTCTGAGGTGATTTTGGACTACACAAAATAAATTGAATCGCATTTAAATCAAATCAAATCCCTTTGATTTGCTGTTTGTGAGAGTGTAGACATCTGGTTTAAGCAGGAGACAGGCAAACATGTACCTGATTGATAATTATTTCATATCAGCGTGCATGAGGGCAGGTTGGTGTATGAGTATGTGTGATTTCACTGCACACAACCCGTACCAAATGACATACTGCAGATGCTGACTGAGTAAACTAATGCTTTGTGCAGTCACTGTAAGTAAACAGTGTTTTTCACATATAGCTCCTTTTGTCTCTCTCTACCTCAGGTATCATCCGTACTGCGACGTCCAACATGGACCGTGAGACCAGGGACCACTATGCTGTGGTGATCCAGGCCAAAGACATGGCGGGCTCAGTCGGAGGACTCTCTGGATCGACTACTGTCAACATCACCCTCACTGACGTCAATGACAACCCTCCAAAGTTTCCTCAGAGTAAGTGGCCGCTCTCGGTTTGTTTCTAACAGCAGCAGGTGAAAAAGTAAAGGGTTCTTTTAAGCTATAAACTTAATGATGTGACTACTGTAATGAAACACCACTGCTGGAGTTGATGTTGACTTTACAAATCAGCATTTCCTGGTAGAAAATGGATTCAAACGCTGTCTACTGTTTGAAATCAGTGCTAATCGTCAAGATCAATTCTAAAATAGAGTTTAGCGTTTGGGACTAAACCTACGTTGTGAAATGAAAGAATGTAAACGCCCTCTAATCAGACCCCCCTCCTCTCCTCTCCCCACAGTGTTGATCGTTTTTATGTTTTCTGAAACCACTGTAGCATTAGGTTACCATGTTTTTATTACGTTACACTGGTTACAGAAAAGGAGCAGGCCCGCTCTTCTCCCGGCAAACTAGTCGGGGGGGATGTCCTTGTTATCCCGTTTGTTGTCAGATAAACAGTCTATTCCTCAAAATCATTGGCCCACGCCATATCGTTATTTCCCGCTATTGTAGCGTCATCAGTCATATTTGTCGTTGCTGCGACACGGTTGTGTCATACAGAAGTGGGCGTGGTTTCATCTCTCAGCCCCTTGCCTTGTTTTGTTTTTTTTCAAAAGATGCAATGGGTGAATTTCGGCTCAGAGTGGAATCTCTTCTTTATGCTTCAGCCCTTCTCATGTTTTTGTCCCTTTAGAGATTTAGATAAATGCTTATAGATTTCTACATGATGCAGATACATTTGCCATAATCTAAGACTGAGAGAAAGTCTACTTATTGAGTTATAAAAGTATAGAGACTAAACCTTTATCACATGACTGAAGCTCCTGTCAAGCGATCTGACTTCAAGTCATTTGTTGTGAATATAAGTCGAAGTGACTAATATATGTGACAAGAGCAAGATTATTGAAACACAGCATTTGCCCGTGGCAATTCAATGATCTGAACTGCTGGCCTTACATGTTAGCATTACATTTCTTGTCCATCTCGTTGTACCTTATCTTCCTTTAGCTAGTTATTTCCAATAACTATGGCTTCTGATCCTCATTTCTCTCTCTTTTTCTCCTCTGGGTTCTTTATTTCCTCTGATCCATGGTTGTTCTGTTTCATCTTCTGCTGTGTTGAAGCCTGCTGTTGTTGTATGAAACAGCTATTGAAAAGGCAAAAGGTTTAGCTGCTGCTTATTGAATGCCTCTTGATTTAAAAGTGTAAAGTTTTTAAAAAATGGCTGAAAGTGTAACACCTCCGATGTGACAGCTTTTATTAGACTATAATTACACACACATATAGTGGGTTACAGTTATAGATTCAGGCAGCATGAACAAGTAAACGTTTATTTTGGTCTCTGATTCAAGAACAAGAGAAGCCAGTCCTACAAATAATCTTTGTGTTTCATGTCAAAGAACATCATCAGCACATAATTGTCTTTACTAAATCCAAATAGAAAACCAGACATACAGGACAAACAATTCACATGTTACATCAACAGTAAATGAACAATGGTCATGGTCAGAGAATAGGTCACAGACGAAACATACAAAATCATAGGAGGAGTTCAGTGACCATCCAGTGTGTTTTGAATTGAGGGAAGAAAATCTTTCCTCTATCTCTCTGGCCTTCTTTTAGCTTGCAGCGTCATTTTATGACTGTTCAGTACAAATATTTGGGGGACTCTGCTATTTATCTAATGACAAAAGTTAGAGGATTTAAATATCAAGCTGTGTGGGAGAACCTGGTTCATGCATTCATCTCCACCAGATTCCAAACAATTAAAAAGTGATCACAGGGCAATAAAGACTCAATTGCAAAATAATGTAAAATGTCTCCTTCAAAGGCACGCTGTAGGCCCTGCAGTGTAGGGTTTGTGCCTAATGATTATATTGTTTTACATGGCAATGTGCATTTACAAAGACCAACGTGTTACAACCAATATGGGTCTCTATCAGGGCTCTATCAGGGCTGGCTCTGTCAGCAGCTTGCGTACCTATGTTGTGTTGCACTAACTGGCAGCGTGGGAGGGTGGTCAAAAACAAGGAAGTGACATCATCAATAGAGTGGAGAAAGAAAGAGAGGGGAGGAATAAAGTGAGGAGAGAGAGGAGACGAGGGTAAATGGTAGATGATATTTATACGCCTTTCTATTTTTCTGACCTCTCAAAGTGCTCACCACATGTCAACGTTCACTCATTCACACACTGATGGCAGAGGCTGACATGTAAGGTGTCACCTGCTCATCAGAATGTAATCTAATCTTTCCCACACACTCACACACTGATGCCTTCACCAGCAGTTTGAGGATCAGAATCTTGCGAAGGACACTTCGACATGCTGGTGGAGGATTGAACCGCCGATCTTACGATTAAATTAAGTCCCACTCTACCTCATAGGACACATCAAGAGACCTAAATGATTTAAACAAAGATTACATATGAGATGGGGTGACTAAGTTAAGGTGGACCTAGTCCTTTCCTTAGGAATTCCTCAATCTATAACTTCCTCTGATGTCCTTTTCACCAAAGTCTGACACTGTGACTTTCAGTGTGTCCCGTTATAATGTAACGTAATGTAGAATATCCTATGGCATGTTCATGCTACATAGAAAGCACCACAGGAACACTCCAGTCCATAAACAACATGTGTGGTGTCTCTTTTGATATGTGCGACATGTGCTCCATCCTGAAGGGGATTGATTTTCATCACCGGCCGTGGGTGTGGGAGGGGGAAGGTAGCTCCTTGTCTCTCAGGTTCTGTAATCGGTGGTTGGAGAGCTAGATCGCTCTGAAATATGAACCAATATCTATGTATGATGTTTCTTATTTGTTCGCTACAGATCTTATTCTAAGGACAGTGATTTTCACACAGTGTATTCCCTGCATGGTGAGATTTTCCTCTATTCGTTACCTTATATGCTTTGTTACACATGTATAGAGCACTTTAAACTGCATTTGTGTGAGTCAGTGCCCTCGAGCTTGAAATATAGCTGCCATACATTTCTATTAGAGGCCTTTATTTACAACTGCAGGGAGACCATTATTATTTCCCCCTGTTTTAATGCTGTTGATGCAAACTGTTGACTTGTTATATTCAGTATGATTTACACTTCACTAATTCCATTAGTTCATGTCTTATTCACCCCGCTGCTGTTTGTTATCCTCTAATTCATTCTATTTGCTTCTACTCTGCCTTTTATAAGAATCCCTGTTAAGCTATCGTCAGTGAACACACTTCCTGCACAGATTTTTTCTCACACAGTGCCAAGCAGCCAGCCTGTGACAGCTCTGAGGACAGAATCAGCAGTGTGTTTTCTGCTTTCGGCATCGAGGGGAAAAGTGGAAGCTGAGGGTGTTGAGCGTTGAGTTCTTCAGAGCTGCTCACTCTCAGTTTGGGAAGAGAGCAGCACAAACCTCTACTAGATGTGACCTAGAAGTGAGGTGGCAGTGTAACATCAGACTCCTCTCCAGTGAGCACCAGAAGAGCACTAAATATGTTTAAAAGGTTTAATGAAATGAAATGTTGTGTTGCTGTTGCAGAGAGCTACCAGCTGTATGTACCAGAGCTGGCTCCTGTGGGGAAGGCAGTGGGTCAGATCAGAGCCAACGATGAAGATGAAGGGCAGAACGCTGAGATGAGCTACAGCATCACTAATGCCGACGCAGCTGCCATCTTCACCATCATCACTGATGCTGACCGCAGGCAGGGAATCATCTCACTCAAGCAGGTATGAATCAGAGATCACAACACAGGCCCACACTGATGCTTATGGAAGCACATGATGGGCTTCAAGTGTGGCTGTGAGGGGACACTGTAGTGAAAATAACTGTCATGGCAGCCCCGTTTGACACAGATGTATCAGCCTTTTCTTCCACAGGGATGTCAGATGGGAACATCAATCATCTGGGATCGAAACTAACTAACCCCCCTCCCCCATTAGTTAAAATAGTTGTTTAGGAACGTAACTTTAAGGGGACGGGTCTGTCTCCATGTTAAGTTCCACTGTGTTACATTCAAATTGCTGCTGTACCGTATGAGGAGCAGAAATGCAGGGCTCAGCATGAGTGGCTGTGTTCACTGTACTGTTGCAGTCCGGACTGCTCACATGTGTCCCCTAAGGGTTGTTGGTGGACACTGCAGCTAGTGCAGAATCAGCTGGATAAATGAAAGATAAATTAGAGGCACCAGTTTTATCAGGTGCAAGGTGCCACAAAATGACATTGTGCCTTCAGTTTGAACAGTTTACTTTTTTTCAAAGATACTGGAATAAACTAAACAGGAAATGGAATTGGATCAAATCCAGCATGCATGGCCTGTGGCTGGAATTCTTTGAGGCGGTCGAGTGTGTCTGATGCCCCTGCAGCCTTCGAACTGGGACAATAGGGAAGCCATGTGCTTAGCAAGAATGAGCAATACTGGTTTCTCAGAGCCACAAGCTAAAAGTTTGATTTTCTTTGTAGCTCTTCTTCAGCCGCTAAGAAACTTGAGAGCAGATGAAGGCTCCTCGCTCAAGGGGAGTCCATGGCTGTTCTTCTTTTTCCAACAGTTTGAAGTTTGCTTTCGTCAGCACATTGCAACACATTGCATTCTGGGGGTGTCTAACGTTTTTGTGAAGAATTATCGAGGTGCTGGCCCAGACCATCAGGAGCAATTTGGGTTCAATGGTCTTGCCTAAGGATTCTTTGACATGTGGGCAGGAGGCCAACCATTAGAGGATGACCTCCAGCTCACAGCTGCTGAATAGGGAAGCAGTGAATACAATATGGATACCAACTGATCAGTACCCTAAGTCCCCAATACAAACAATTTTCTGGACCACTTGCATCTATAAATGTACAAAGCCAGCAAGGGGTCATGTGGAAGAAAAATAATATTAGCATAGAAATGTGTGCACGTCAATCTCTGTGTACAGATTGATAAACCATGCACACAGATTAATAAACTGTTGAACCAGTGTCAGCTGGTGGCTCCAAAATGTTGGGAGGACAAGAGGAAAAGCAATCCATGGGCTGTTATTTTGGCTGTCTGTACACAGCTTCAGTATACAAGTAGAACAACGACAAAAAGCCATATCAAACCAGACAAGAATAGTCTAAAACAGGGGTCTTCAACGTTTTGCAGGCCAAGGACCCCCAAACGGATAGAGAGATGGAGCAGGGACCCCCGACTATATATATTGTATAAAATTGTGTTTTATATTAAACTGGGCCTAGTGCCATGTATAAACATACCTCTTTATTGTGCATTCAATACTAAGCTATTCAAATAATACACAGGTTCATATATTCATGTTTTTATTTTAAACATGTGCAAGGTACAGTGAGTAGGGTGGCCGTGCCACTGCCATTTATAAACATACCTTGTCAACTGATACCAATGCCAATATCAACATTGTCTGTAAATTGCATGATAATCATGCATAGAAGCTATTCAAATTGATGTTTTCATTTTAAACATAAATGTGGAAATGAAAAATTAGTGATGGCCTATTAGTGCCACTGCCATGCATAAAGATACTCGTTATCTTCCATACAATACTGAACTATTAAAATAATGGACAGATTCATGTTTGGGAAAAAAAAATACATATATATATTAAAAATTTGTCTAATCAACAAAAATTTCGCGGACCCCCTAGGGGTTGCGGACCTCCTGTTGAAGACCTCTGGTCTAAAACATACAGATATTAAGTGTCTTAATACCTTATTAGACATCATTAACAAATTTATTGTGTCTTCTTTTCTTGGGTATTTGAAGAAACCAAACATTTTCCCATAACAATGTAAAGTCTTGATATGATCAATGACAAACCTGCAAAGCTTTTGCCTAAATGTCTTGGTGTGAGAACAAAACTGTTCCAGAATATTCATCACACGACTGTGGCTGAGTGATAAAACAGGGTCGTCCCTCAATCACAAAATCGCCGGTTCGATCCCCGGCTCCTCTAGTCCATGTCGACGTGTCCTTGGGCAAGAGACCTAACCCCAGCTCCCGTAGGCTGTGCCCGCGGTGTATGAATGTTAGTTAGACATGTGGCTATATTATTATTATTATCGGGATGTATTGAGAAACACATTCTTCCTACTGGGGAGTCAGCTGGGTTGGGGTTAGCTCTACTTTCTTATAATGCAGTAAAAGGGCTTAAAGAGTTCTTAAAAACAATCACTGCAGGCTAGATGGGAATGAACCTATGAGTCACTAAAGCCATCAGACCAATGAGCGGTGACACAGCACCATTACGTTACTGTACCTTCCTTCATGCCGTGCAGCAGTCAGTCGTCCATACCAGGATCCAGTCGCAGTTGGAGTGCAGCAGCACGTGGGGCCATCTTAGTCCCGCCATGGGTCCGCTGTACAGCTGAGGCAGTGTGGCCCGAGGATGCGCAGCAGAGCGGAGGTCTCAATCTGTCCCCCTTTTGCATCCAGCTGCTGTCGCGCCTTCCACTTCAAATCCATTCTCACCATTGGCCCATAGTGCCACCATTGGTCCATCTGTTGAAAATACCTGTATAGAATGTCATTTTTTGCTTTTAAAAAGTTGCATTTTTTTATTCATCTAGCTGTACTACCATTTCGCCACACTCTCGTACATACGTGGTACTGTAGAGAGCATCAATTTACGTGTTTTGGCCAATCACAGATTAGCATGAAACACTGGAATACATTAAATGATGTAAGAAGTCCCGCCCTTACCACCACTTTCTTGCCTGTCCTGCAGGCATTTAATCAGAATTTCAATTTTAAAGAAGTCGTGATAAATGATCGTGAGATTTGGTATTGGTTTATTTGAACCAGTTACTCTTTGTTTTACATTTTGATATTTCTCTTGCCTGTCAACAATAGAGGAGCAGCCTCCCCTAATGTGAACAGAAACCCTTTCATCATTACATTTATTCAATTAGATATGATTTGGGGAATAAGCTCAACCTTGCCCATTATTTACAGAGCTCTGCTCTAATTTACATTTCAAAACACTGTTTAAAAATGCAGGATCCGGATGCACAACTGACCCGGTTATTATTCGGTATATTTGCACATTGTCTTTAGCTTGTGGTCCTATTAGCTCTGTGTGTGTTAGGTGTTTGACTCAATATGTAGCTGCTGGTTAAAGAGTTACTAAAAATAGGGTAAAGTAACATGAATCTTTCACACAGATTTCAATGTCTCTTCTATTCCATCATTCCTGGCAGGCCCAATATGAATGTAATAGGTGTAATTATTGTATCCTTCTCATTCGCTCCAAAGTAAAAGTAGAGATCATTAAACAGATCGCATACTGATGCCTGATGTGTCATTATAACCATTATAAGGCTTTAGTTCATCAGGATATGTCCTGATGAACTAAAGCCTTGATGGACACAAAACATAGTTCTGGTATCATTCGTCTATTTATTCATTGTCATAATTAAAGTGATCTTTGAAATGTGTCCTCAGCAGGATGATTGTGCTTTGTCTCCTCCCCAGCCTCTGAACTATGAGAAGAGAAAAGTTCACACTCTCAACATTGAAGGCTCCAACACTCATCCAGACTCCCACTTCTCCCACCTGGGGCCATTCAAGGATTCCACATCGCTGCGAGTCATTGTGGGCGATGTAGATGAGCCTCCCGTCTTCTCCATGGACTACTACATTTTGGACATGTATGAAAACTCACCTGCCGGTACCCAGGTTGGCACTATAACTGCTGTGGACCCTGATAGCACCAACAGCGCCATCCGGTAAAGGAAATAGTCCCCGATGTGATGTGTGTTTGGGTGTTTTTGTTGTGCATGCATATGTCTGGTGTTTGGGGTTCAGGTGTCCCTATGAGAAAAGAGGCTTTGCAGTTGTCAGAGCTGTGTCTCAGTGAGTGGCTCCAGCATGTGCAGCAGGCCCGCTGACGAACTCTACCACTTTGCAAAAGCCTCACTTTTCTAAAAATACTACATTTCTGCTTATGTGTGGCACATGGGCTGCAGCAGGGGCAGAACGCTGCTTTCTCTCAGTGGTGAGCATAGCTTTAGGAAGAAGAGCACTGCTCTCGCTTGTTGGCAGCAGAGAGCAGGGGCTGTGGTTAGCACTGTTGTAGGATAGCAGGTTGTGGACTGACCAGCCCAGTATCACCTCATGATACACAATCAATCACAATGTTATCACAGGAGGTAATTATTACCCGTTTGGTGGTGATATTTTAATGGAGTCACAACCTACCCACCATCAACAGATTATGGTATGATTATATCGACACATTATGGCCATCTTCTGAATCCATAAGGCAGTAACAACATGGAAAAAGATTACTTGGCTCATGTCTTAGTCGAGCGGCAGAAGCAAACACGGAATTTCCAAAAGCTGCAGTACTTGAAATGGCCACTTGAGGCTGGCTCCAAAAGCAATCCCCATAGACCCCCCTGTTACAATGCCCAACTTAAACATTTATAGCCTGGTACGACAGTTTACTTCTCTACAGCTATAAAAGACAACTGTACGGGGGTTGACATTTTAGATAACTCACCAGTTTAAAGTGTGTTAAGGCTTAAAGTTAGGCATAAGGGCATGGCCGATTTGAGTAACTGGTGGGTGGCATACCAAGACGCTAGCTGCTAAAAGTCTGCTCTGCTGCATCATCCCACCTCGTTCATTTTTACAGTTAGGCTGTGTCGTAAAAAGTACTATAATATGTAGCTACATACAGTAATACATGTTAATAATAATGCAACTATCAGGTCATTCAGAGCTTAAACAATCTAAGGAGATATACAGGCATGATCTTTCATTTATTATGTTACAACCCCTTAAATAGTATTTACTTTCCTTCTGAAACAGTATTATAAATACATGCCAAATACTGTTATTTGGTTGATTTATAGTTTTTATATTCACATTCCATAAAAAAATATATGGCTTCATAACACTCAATCAATATATCAGTCATGATTACTTTTTGTAGGACTTCTGTGATCTAAATAAATGCACAAGCAGCCTCTATTACATTACCCTCTAAATAGTAGCATATTGAAATATGTTTCAATGGCTTTGTTTCTTTTTTTAAATTCACCTCCTTCTGTGTCACAGGTACTTCATAGAAAACAAAGAGGAAAGGCCTTTGAATTTTAGCATCGGGGTGAATAGTGGCATCATCAGGACGACTCAGGTTCTGGACCGGGAGGAGACTGCGTGGCATAACATCACTGTGATGGCTGCAGAGGTTGGTAAGTTCTCAGCAGACCAGCTCAAACCCTGTCCCTCTCTGTCTAACTTCAACATCCCATCCTCTAGCTACCCATGCATCCATCCATTGTATCCGATTGCTGATAAAATAAATGAATACAAAAATTGCTACTTTGGCTCTGATGCAGCAGCCTGCCTCTGTCTGTAGTCACCACTCTGTAGCCTCGCTCAATGTCTCAATGTCTGATCGGTTACACTTCATAAGTAAATGCTCATTAGGACAAGCACAGGCTACTGTACCACCGAGGGGCAAAGAGGTGTCGAAGGCAGCAGATATGGCTGAAATTGCAATAACCATCCCAATTCTGTACGCTGAAGTCAAGAAAACACCTTGTGTTTCCCCTGGTTATGGCAACAAAACAAAAAAAATGACAAGAGAAAAATGGTAGTTATGAAGTTTGTCAACTCCAGTTCTATGAGTAGGAGACGAAGGAGGGGAAGGAGGGAGTGACACGGGGCCTGAACATGGGCGACAGATGTGACCCAAGACCAGATCGTCATCGTTTAAAAGATGAAGCGCAGTGAGGACACAGACATTCCATACATCAGATGTACAGTATATAACGCAGATTAGCAGATGCACATTCAACACAGGTTGGATCAGTGTATATGAGTCAGTTGTCACTCTGTTTGCCTCTCTTAGTATAGATTTCAGTTGTGGCAGTGTAGCTTCACTGATAAACCTGAGAATCCTCGGCCTACTTGATTACCAATAATCGTTATCCGCCCTGAAAAAAAAATATATTGTTTAACCCCTAATATGTACAGTATGCAACATCTTAGAATAACAAAAAGATAGACGTTTACTCAGCCATTGCTTGACCTCAGAAACAAATGACATACAATTTTAAAGACATTTTTATAAGCTACTTAATTCTGTGAATTTCTGTGGGATATCCTTTGACATTTAGTGATCTGACAGGACCTCTGCGTAGATGAGATTGTGCCGAATGCGTCTGTCCATCAGTTCTTCTTCATCGTCTCCTCTCATTTCTCTCCAGCCGATGCTTATCTTCCCAATTACCCTTTCTCCTACCCTTTACTGCACCGCAGTGTGAGTAATGGACTGAGCGATGGCATTCATAAAAGGCCAGGCAACAATCACCCTGCTGCTGAAGTCTCTGGGGATTAATCGAAGTTGCAGGAGGGACGTACCTCCGTATAGTTACACCCAGCATGTCCCACCTCATGTGAGCCAGTGTGAAATGATTGCCAGTACTAAAGTGTGTCTTAATGAGAGTATAGGAGTTAGTTAGAGGGAAATTAAAAGCCGTCATCCCTTATTTTCAGCCAATATTCTCGACATGTTGTTGTCAGAGACAGACGAGCGAAACATTTGTTGTGGTGAGGGGCTGGCTCACCGGGAGGCAAAGAGACGAAGATACTTACTCATAGCTGAGGTGCAATTTTTATTCAAATATCAGACGAAGAATGTGTCAGTACATCGTGTCATCTTCAGGATAGATAAACAGTAATCATGTGTATAGTGTTGAGGACAGTAGGGTTGATTCAGAGCACACCCTGGCCTCGTTAAATCAAGGGCAGAACTAAGGCTAAATTCTCACTTTGAGATTATATCAGATGTAGCTTATTAATATACATTTTACAAGCTAGCAAAGCTTCCATCTTAGACACCAGATTGTTTAAATATTGGGACATTTTCTATGTGTTACAATGCATATTTGACATGATTTTCCCTTAATTTGTCAAAAAGGAAAAAAAACTGTACAGCAAAATAACGTTACATGGTCATAGTCAAGGTCATTTTAAACAGTAAAAATTTCATTGATTTTCTCAACATACAATCTTTCCTAATGTTTTTATTTTATGTCCAATACAATTCCTCTAATATCAGTTATGACCCACGTGTGTAGTTTACACATAGCACAGTGCCTGTTGTGCAGTTTAAGCTTCGGATACGTCCTGATGAACTAAAGCCTTGATGGATACATCCAGATCAGACTTGATAGAACAAAAACCAAGCTGATGTTAAGGCAACAATGTGCCTTCTTTAGAGCTTATAACTGTAACATGACTGCATCTTATTTATTGTTTTCAGGGCATTTTCATAATCAACCAAAGTAAATAAACAAGTAAGTTGAACAAAAATCAAAACAATATATTATAAGATATTAAGTAAGCCCTTGCTTTTCATTAGTGTCTTTAAAATTAGCCTTTTATTCTTTTACTTTACCTCATGATACTCATATGTTTTATTATTTGATGTTGTAATTGAGTTGTACAGTGCTTCGTTACCCTGTTTTGAGGTTGCTATATTTAAATGAAGGTGTTTATTAGTAGTAGTGGCAGTAATAATACTAATAATAAAAATGAACACACTTTTAAAATTAGACTTAAGAGGATCGCACGGTAAATAGAAAATATAGAAAATAAAATGAGGTAATTTTTTCGTTTCTATTCATGAGGGTAGGATAAATAACACAATATACTTCAACAGCACCAATAACTACATCTTCCAAAATGATCATAATTAAGCTTAATTGTGCTGCTGACGCTGTAAAAAAATGATACTTTCCTTAAAGAATCTCCGAAAGCAGTTCTTCTTTTTATTCTTTGGTGCCATTTTAATAAATGAACACTTCAGGAAACGTGTTTGCTAATTCTGACGTGGCTCACTGAAATAGAAAGCAATGTGTCATAATATGTCCCACTGTGGAGCTGGAGTTGTGGGGTTGTGTTTGAAACAAGTATATTCTCAAGCTAGAGGCTGACGATACAGCAAAATTAGTTTTTGATCTGCCACCAACACGTTTCATTGTTAAAATCGGTGTATTTTTGCATTTCATGGCGCTTTCCACTGTTAATTACTTAATCACATGCGTGCATTACACACCAGGAGAATAGATGGACCCCGTCTGGTGGTGTATGCCGGCAAAAACAGCAGAACACACACTGAAGTTTACCACTGTGGAACTAGAGGCCTCACTGTAACATTGAAAAGAGACATGTGTGTGTGTGTGTGTGTGTGTGTGTGTGTGTGTGTGTGTGTGTGT